GTAATAGATCATAATAACTGAAATAAAATATAATAATTTACAAGTATAATAAATAAATATTGAAATAAAATTAGCTTCGCTTAATTTTTTTGATTTTTGCAATTAGCCAATCAAGTGATGACCCGTGATCTAGAATTTTCTGATCAACATACTTATACCATAAAAAGACGATCTATGTTGTCCTAATTTGGTATATCAGCAGACTGAAATTGTGAATAAAAATTGTGTAATTTGATTGGTTAATAATTATGTGTAGATTTGCAAATCGATCCAAAAAACTAGCCAATCAGACAAACTTCTGTCTATGACCTTTAACCAACAACATGCATTGCTCCGATCCCAGTCCTATGTTGCGGGACATCTAGTCGCATCAAAAAATATTTCTTGCAATAAAAGTTTAATAACTTTTTTAAAAAATAAGCAATTAGAAAAAAATTTTCTATGATGGGGACATCTAGTCGCATCAAAAAATAATTGCTTGCAATAAAAGTTTAATAACTTTTTAAAAAAATAAGCAATTAAAAAAAATTTCTATAATAATATTATTTAAGACCCAAAGAATATCTGTATAGAGAGTTTTTCTAAAAATGTTCTTTTATTAAAAAGTTATTTTGGCTTAAAATTTCTTTTAATTTATTAATATTTTAAAAAATTCAGTGCTTTATTTTATTAGTAAATATAAAAAATTCAGTGCTTATATTATAAAATACTTTTCAATAGATTACTTGGTATATAAAATTTTTTTTCAAACTTCAATTTCTCTTTTTTTTTTTATTCAATCTCTTTTAAAAACTTCAGCACAATTGAGCATTATATAAATATTAAAAAATTTAGCACTAAATTTTAAAATTCAATACTATATTTTAAAATTCAGTGTTAATTATTAAAATTTCAGCACTACTATATATGTATATATATATATTTCAAAATTCAGCGCTTTAATGTGACTAGATGTCCTGCACCATACAAAATTAATTCTTAAATAACCACTAGCATATTAACTTAATCTACAAATATCTTATTTAGTTAGAATGAACAAATATATAATCTTTAACAATTTCGGGTTTCGTATAGATTTCGGAGTTTCAGATAGGGTCGGGTTTTGGATGAGGTTTCGGAAACTATAATCCGAAACCAGAAACTTTCGGATTTAAAAAAAAAAGTTTGGTGCCCAACTCTACTATACACTACGTATATAACACTGTTCCTGATATGTATAATTGTAGTTGTTTCAAATATATATTTCTATGTGTATTTTTTGCTTTTTTTAGATAACGATGATTGATGTACTGTACATGATATTACACGAAAATAATGTGCAAAAACTATTCCTTAATGCAGTAATTAATTTATCCACCACAAACGTTTCTATTTTATTTACCACATTACTCTGAAAATAGGCACCCCTGGCTGCATTATAAAAAATTTGGCCTGAATTATAACCATCTTGGCCAACATTAAGTGCAAAAAAGGGGTGCTTATTTTTGGAGGAATACAGTATATATAAATACTATTAATACTCTTGAGCTGAAGTGATCCAATTGGTCAAATTGATCACTGATTGTAATAATGGGCCCAAAAAAATTATAAGCAAATCCGAAAACAGCAATACATACTAACAACAGCAATAACTAAATCCCATTGATAATGCAGATCTATTTACAATCGCCAATGCAGGAAAATACTTAATAAATGATATTTTTTCTTAGCCTAAACTGAATTAGAATAGGTTTATCAGTAAATGCAACGGCTAGCAGATAATTGGTATTTTATTAGCAACAAAGATTTGTTCATTTATCATTCATAACTTTATAATTTATTATTTAAAGACCCTGATCTGCCTTTCTAGAAAAATTTCAGATTTATTATATCTTGAAAAAAACACCCATGTATGACCGACCACTCGGGCCTTTTCCTACTCCTGAGACCTACCACCCAATTATTCAGGGGCTTATAAACATGATTAAATGCAATTGCTGGGAGGACAAATTTGTTAAAGCAGTCTTTGATGCCCACAAGACAAGTGTCGAAGATATGGTTAATATAATAACTTTGATCGACTACTACAATTTTCTTCATTACTTGGTGTATTGGATACCTACTGAGAATGAAACAGGATCTCTCGTTTACAATATGCTTTGCACGATATACTTTGTTCTTGATCAGAAATCTGTTAAACCACTCCAGTCACCCATTAAGCCTTCGCCGTATCTACCACCGCTGTTGACAGAGCTTTTGCAATGGATAATTTACTTTTTATGTATGATGGGGCAATTTCACAATACACCTCAATCACTTACTGAAGAATCTCTGAAGACTTTTTATATGTCAGATAAGTACAACATGAAAATTTATGAGCCTCTCCAAGATGGCTGGCGTTGTTTTAACGATTTCTTCACGCGAAAACTGTTGCCAGAAGCCCGACCCATCGACTGCTCTTCCGATCCAAGGGTTATTGTAAGTGTCACAAATTCGGTGTTTGATGGCTATTGGGATATCAATGCTCATTCAATTGTCACTTTAAAACACATCCTCTGGACTATTTGCGAGCTACTTGCAGACAGTAAGTACTAACGTGAATTTGCCAAAAGAAAATTTATGCACGCATTTCTTTCACCAGCCAACTATCACCGTCAGCATGCTCCTGTCGATGGCAAAGTGCTCAAATCTAAAGTCCTCTCAGGTCAGAATTATCTCGAAGTTATTGTTAAAACAGACTTCAGAAACAAACTGATACTCACACCTGGTCAAAGAATTATAAAAACAGATCAACCAAAAGCTGAGATCGATGCTCTAGACTCTCCAGGGTATCAATTCTGCCAGGCACGTGGTCTGATTGTAATCGAATCAACGAAAGTTAGATTAGTGGCTGCTTTACCTATTGGTATAGCTTAGGTGTCTTCTGTGGTCCTCACCACTCGGGTGGGGGCTGAATTAAAGAAAGGAGATGAAATATCTTATTTTCAGTTTGGTGGATCTGATATTGTCCTTGTGTTCCAAAAATAATTGCTAAAGTAAACGAACATTATAATGTAGGCAAACAGATTGCAGTTGCCCATATAGCTGAATAATCACAAAATAAAATATGTAATTTTTATATATTAAATTGCTATAATATTTTACAATCTATGTGATCTAATAAAACAAAATTTTATAAACCGGGCATAAATTATCATTATATCTTTTTGAATTTGGTTTGATAATTATATATGATAGGTTAGTCAAAATCTTATAGAGGTTTGCAAAAAGGTGTGAGTTTATGATTGCATGATTTCATAATTTTATGAAATGACCAGTCATTGATTATTTTAAAACTAAATTGCCAGGTAGAGTCATTTAAATTACATTATTTATGAATTTATTTGTAAAAATGTGATTGGTCCATTTTTGCCGTGGCTAATGCTGAGATTTGGGATCTCAATTGAGTACATTAAACCTACTTAAATCCACATATACTCTTTATTAATAATTCTAACCATGAATCCTAATCTAATCCTGAAATGAACCCAAAAATGTTTATAATTTTATATCAAAATAGTGTCAATTCTTAGCATCAGTCGATCTCAGCTTCAGCTGCGATAATTATTTAATTAAGTATTATATGAATGCTTCCAAGGAAAAACCTACGAACTTAGTATACTTTAAAAGAAGTTACATCTCTAGGTTTGTTAGTATTTAGCAGTTTTTGTTTTCTTATAGTCTAATTGTTAACAATATGGTATCGGGTATCAAGCAAGACACCCAGTATTGCAAAAGTTCTCGCTTGCTTAAGAAATCTGAAAAATTTGTCATTTTGATAAATGCTTACAATGAACATAAATAAACTCAAAATGGTACGAGGAAGAAAAAAAGTTCTTAGTGCAATGTAAAATGATTCAGTTAGATAAACGATGAAATAATTCTAGCAACGATGAGATATTGCCTAGAGGAAATACATAAGTACATACAAGTTTATTTAAATAATTTAAATAATGTATAGTATGGGTTAGGGTCCCATAGCCTAGTGGTCTAGACGCCTAACCCTCCACAGATGAGGTCAACAGTTCGATTATAGCTGGTTGTAATTAATTTAATTAATTATCTCTGTAAGCTTTCAAATGCGAAACCCTGTGATGATAAGACCATGTGAAGTACTTATTTGGCCTATAAAGAATTCTTGGAAGAAGTCCCGAGCCGTAGAGAAGACTGGGCACTACGTGTGACATGGCGTCACAGAAAGAAATACCGCATAAGGCTGTGCA